TCATGTCCTCCCTTGGAGAAGATCACAGCACCGTGTCCTCCACATACACTGCTGTCCCAAACTGCCGCTGGGAATGGCCTTGGAGAGGGTCACAGCACCGTGTCCTCCCTTGGAGAGGGCCACGGCACCGTGTCCTCCRTGCACAGCACTGCCCCAGACTGACCATTGGAAATGGCCTTGGAGAGGGTCACCGCAGAGTGTCCTCCACACACACCACTACCCCAAACTGCTGCTGGAAGTGGCCTTGGAGAGGGTCACCGTAGTGTGTCCTCCACACAAACCACTGCCCCAAACTGCYGCTGGGAAYGGCCTTCAACAYAAACTAGCTTGTTTGGGACCATGTTTGACAGCTGAGGCCAAAATCATGCCAGGGTCCCTGCTAACAAGCAGGACAGTCAGCCACGTCTCATTGTGTTATTGGTATGGACACAGCCTACATGATCTGATCCGACGTACCTCCTGTGCGAGTGCAATGGTGGTAGTTGTGCTCGACCTGGTTGCTTGCTATCAACCATCAGCAAATAATAACAGAACATGATTTTCTCTGTTCTGCCTCTTTCAATCTTTTTAAGTGCAGTGTTTAACAAGCACGGTTATAATTCAGATCTCTCTGTGGAACTGAGTGGGAAGGAGATGAACAGCCTCTCCCAAGGAAGATTCATTTTTATTCTGCAAAGAGTAGCAAGGCAAGTCCATCACTATGGCCGTGCCAGCTTCATGAGAAGTATGAGCAGTCTACCTCCCAGAGGTGCACCAGAGGAGGAACAGGACTGCTGCTAGTATCCATGTCGTTTGCTCATGCAACGTTCAGTTATCTGCTGATAATTAGTAGGGCCTGGGGTACTGCACTTGTCTCTTTGGCTGATGAACATAATAACTAGTGTAAGTGYAGGGAGGCCAAGCAAACAAGGATGTAACCTGCACATATAGTTATACTCCTGCAGTTGCATGTGTGCAGTGTAAGCTTCCTGGAAATCTGGGTCTGTATCTGAGCTGTTATTGCCCATCTTGCTAGTTGTTAAAACCCATGCTGGCTACATTGCGGTTGATATGTGTATTGCCATGACAATCACAGCAGCGTTTGCTGCAGAGAAACTCCCCAAGCTGCACTCACAATAGGTTACCTACGTACTGCAGCCTGTCGTAGGTTACCTACCAGTGTCTGAGAGCTCCCCAGTGCAGAGCTCCTTTCACAAAATGCCTCTGAGCTACATAATTCCTGCTCCAGGCAAGTGCTAAGGTCCTGGTTAAAAGAAAAATCCCATGACATAAATTTAACTCTGGATAAACCTTATGTGGTTGGCAACGCCAGCTCTTCTCCACCACATAGGTATTTCACTATCAGTAGGTAGCTGTGACAAACTCTCAAAATTTTCTGCATGCCAATGCCAGATAGCCTGCAACATAGATCAATAGTTATCACTTTCAATTAAAAAAGAAATTAAATATCACTGGTAGAACTGTTATCTGTCATTCATATCATGATTTGTTAAAACAGTCACTCAGAAATAAGGAGACATAACTGCTACCAATCTGCTGCATCCAAATTCTGGAATAAGTTGCTTGGACTCCTACCAGTTAGTTGCGCTCAAAATCTTGGTATAGACAACATAGGAAAATAAAGGATTTACAAAGTCAATAAATTGTTGCTAGTCTAATCAAAGCACTGATTAAAGAATCATCAGATAAGTTACAATGATAGCAACACAGTTCAAATTAAGTATAGTCAAATTTATGTGTATATATATATATAAATATTTACACACAAACTTTGTAGTATCTACCACATTCTGTTATGTTATGCCCACTCTCCCATTACCCCTCAGGGTCTTAACATCAATGATCTTATTCTGGGGAGGAGGTAACTGGAAAGTCATCAGGTTTCCAAGTCCTTCACCAGGAGGGGGATTTTGCTGATGCTAATGGTTTCTTCCTCCTCACTGTAGGTCTAGCTGGGGTCATTTGTATGTTTGCTAACAGGCTTTATACCTTGCTCCTTTTTYTCCTGGTTTTGTAATTCTACCTAATTTACTATATGTGGGGTGTTCAACATGCTAGGTAGTTGTGTTTTGCTCTCCCTCTTACCCCTGAGGCTGGTTTTACTCAGCTCCCAAGGCTGCATTCTTTCCATGACTGTTAATTGGCCCTGGCTGAGTTGCTTATAGCCCTGGGGCCTCCAATATCACCCTCTGCCTGAGCTTCCAAGGTCTCTGCTCTTCCTGTGCTGTTACTCCTCTATGCTGCATTTTATTCTAGACTCCTGGATAGTTCATTCTATGCAGGAAAACTGCTTGTTATAGAAATACATATAACAATAGGTGTAGCCTCATATGACTGTACAAGGGGAAGTGAAAATTAGAAGTAGTCAGTAGTTACTTGGTCATTAGATAATTGCTGGCACAAGCCAAAATAAATCTGCAGGAAAGACAAGAGGTGTCCAGACAAAGCCTGCYGGCTCCTGATGCCAGTGTCAGCAGCTCAACACGAAGCCTTGCGGCCTGTTACTAGCAGYGGTTCCACACTGCTTGCTGGCCTACACAGTTCATAAAGCTCAAGCGCATCCTGAGCACAAAGACAAGGAGATTTGCAAGGCCACAGGTCCCACAGCACAGGAGGGGGAGCCTGCCCAAGCTATGCAAAAAGGGACCTGCTRAAAGTAGTCCAAAATGCAGAGAGAAATGCATAGCGAGCACACAGCTAGCAACTGGACTCTATAAACCACCGAGAGTACTCTTCTGAAGAGGGAAAAGTCTTGTCAGGAACTGGATTTGTGTTTTGTAATGATGGCAGCCATGGAAGAGAACACAAGCCTATGTGCCTTTTTTTTCCCTTTTTTTCCACACTGATCAGTTTTGTCCTTTCTACACAATACTTGAGCTTTGCTGAAAGGTTTTAGAAGACTTTTTTTTTAAAATATTTTCTATTTTTGCTTTCCATTTCGCCTAAATAATAGCCAAGCAGCTAATGCATTTTCTGAGGGGAATAGCATTTTGAGGTACTGCAACTTTCAGCTTAGTTCCTTTGTGACTTACCTAAGATCACAACAAATGCAGGGCAGGGAATTAGTCCTTGGTCTCCAGAGTTGTGTGTTTAACTGTGCAGCTGAAATAGGGCCTCTGTGTCACAGAGCTTGAAGCTGAATGAGTCTCTTTTTAAAAAGAGAAGTGTTTTTGCCATATTTCTTTGGAAGTCAATACAGATAAAACAGATCAATTAATCAATCAAGTGATCACTTACCACTCTCTAAAATGGGGTGGGGAGGAGGAAGAAGTATTGAAAAGACTGTATCCGATCTAATTGCAGGAGAATTTTAAGATGGTAAAAGAGGATTAACTTTTTATTTGGTATTTGCATGTTAGGGCTACTGCCCTTGCAAAGTAGATCTTATTACAGCTTGGAACTGTATATAGCAGCACATTTACCAGTGCAGAAACCAAAATAGCCAGTAGTGCAACAGTGTACTTAGCACACTGGCTATCGAAGATCCAAACTCAGTTTCCTGCTGCAGACTGGCTCCCTAGTTSCCACGCTTGTGTAAGTCTTCTGCTTTGTAGGAGTAATTAATTAGTAGCCATTCTTATGGTCTTAAGAGTACGCAGTTACTTGTGGAAAGCAGGATTTATACGGAATAAAATCTTGGAGGAGATTTGACCCACAATTGCATTCTGTCATCTTTGATTAGGGATGGTGAGGTTGAGATCCTCATATGAATTGTTCAACTGAAGTAGACTTCCCACAAGCTGCTTGAAAGCCTTAACTTGAAGACAGCAGGTCTTGCAGGAGTAAGTATGCAGGGAGAATCCTCTCCCTGCATTTCTGCACAATTATTTTGAAAGATCTCAATTTCACTCCAAAGAGGAGGAATATACTTTAAATCTCAGAAGTTTCATAGAACAAGGGGAATGCTTCTAGCCCACGTCTAATCGCAAATTTTCCCRTATTGCCTGTATAACTTTTGCAGAGAAAAGGATTCCTCGTTTTTCTTGGCCCTCCAGACCTGCCAGTTGTTCTGCAGATGTGTTTGGCTGCGATGTGGGTGCTACCAAGACGAGCACAAGTTGCCAGGTCACCTCTGGTAATTGCTCAGTGCAGCTCTGTGTTGGAGAGCTGAACTCCAGTCTCAGCTGAGCTCAGCAGCTTGGAAACTCGCATCGCTAGGGTCTGCACTGCGCCACACAGCCTGGGGTGTGGGGCTTTTGGGAACTGTGAAACCAGAAAGAGAAATAAGCTCTGCATGAGCTACAAACAAGAGGTGAGGGTTTCAGGGGTGACCTGAGCGTTTTGGCTCTTGTTTGACCAGGAGAGTTTTGGCTGACCAAAGTTAGGCACTGGACTGG